GTAGCTGAGCCCTTAGAGCAATCTCTTTAGGCTTTTCAAATCAGCGGTGATCAAGACCAGGCCAGGTGATTTTTCAGTTTCTTCCTAGTGGGAGAAAACAAAAACAAACCTGGAAATTCTAAACGGTCTGACGCCGCTACCAACTTTACAGATGATTTCCCTCCTGCCTGCCCCTGGAGGGCGCTGTCTCCTTAAGTCCAGGTTTCCCCTGGCCAATCACAGTAAAGAGTTCTTTTAAGGACCAAAGGAGGGAATTCCGCAGGACTGGGAAGGTAGGGCAGGGGCGCGCCTTCCAGCCAATCAGAATCTCTCTGGAGAGCAGTGACTCACGTGCAAAGCTCTGCTGACCAATGGCAGGAGTGCCGAGGGGAGGGCCGGCTCCCGTTGTGTGACAGCCACCTGGACCAATGGGCATGTCGCCCGCGGCCTATAAGAGTCGACTGGGCCCGGGGCGACAGGCTCTAGGGTCGGTTAGTCGTCGCCGTCGGAGGTGTGCCCTGGGTTTACCTCGCCGTAGCTGCCGCCCTGTCCCTGCATCCGCGGCCCCCGCCTTGGCCCCGGCCGAGCCTCTCTCCCTGCCCTCTTCCCCTTAACCACCCCTGGTTTCTGCCGTCGGGGCTCCGGGGCCGGGCGAATGATGCCCTGGGAGAGCGGAGCTGAGCGCCGGAACGAGGTGGCTGCGCAGGTGGGGACGGCTGCGGCCTCGGCGGTGGCCACGGCCGCCCCGATAGGCGGCGGCCCCGACCCAGAGACCTCGCCTGCCTCCCCCGGGCGGCACCTGAGCGGGCTGGGCTGGCCACAGGTGAAGCGTCTGGACGCGCTTCTGAACGAGCCGATTCCCATTCACGGGCGCGGCAACTTCCCCACCCTGAGTGTGCAGCCACGGCAGATCGTGCAGGTGAGAGGGCGCTGGGCTGGGGGCGTGGGAGCTCTCTCCCGAGATTCTCATGACTGGTAGGCACTGAGTCTGTTCGACTCGCTGGACAGCTAGGGACGCTGAGGAACGGGGACAGAGGCTGCAACAAATGCACAGCGCGTTATTGGTGGACCAGACCTCTTCCCTCTGCACCTGATAATACTTCCTTACTTGGCTTTCCCGTCCACAGCCTCTGGGGGACCAGGCCATGGCTGGGAAAGGAGAGAAGAATGGGGAGGGACTGATGGGACAGCTGGGGGAGAGCAATCCCACCTGCAAGGAAGAAAGATGCCGCCAAGCAACTCCTTGTGGGTAGGTGTTATGACTGGGTCCAGAATAACTCTTCCTCCTCAACCTGGCATCCGGGGACACCCCACCTCCTTTCCCTCTAGGTTCTAGGGGCAGACTCTGTCCTCGTGCTGGCTCTAGGCGGGGCTCGCTCCCTCTCAGCTGTAGCTGTGGCAGGTAAAGAGTAAGGGAGTGCCAGGCCATTACTCCACACCCAAAGGCAACCTTAAACGTCCATTTTAGCTGTTCATCCCCCTCCTCAAGATTGGAAACAAGGGCCAGCCCAGGTCTCAGGCTCCAAACCCCATCTCTCTCTGCAAGAATGAGAAAAGAGAACTCTGCAGCCTCTCCCCCCTCCTTCAGACGCCAACTCCTCCCTGTACCTGACCCTCAGCCGTCTCAAAACTGCTTTCATTTGTATAGCCCAGGCACTGCCCTGTTTGAAATACCAGAGTACAGTCATCGTACCCATTTTACAGCTTAGGCAGCTGAGTCCTCAAGAGATTACCTGATGAGATGAAAATCAAACCCTGAGAATCCTACATCTTCCCACAAGCAGATTGCTGCAGCCTCGAAGTCTTTCTGCCCCTTCCTCTGCTCTCAAGCCCGACTTCTAAGTCTTAGGGGAGTCCCCTGAGCAAAGAAACCAGAAAATCCAGTGACAATTTCTGTGTATTCCTGCCAGCCAATGGACTTTCTGGGGAGGCAGTTGTACAAGCCAAGTGAAGCAGGCCATTCCTTTGCCTCCTGCAACCTTAGCTTCCCGCAGGGGGGAGGGGAGCCTGCTGAAGAATTACCTCCTCTCCCTCCTGAGGAACTAGGAATGGACGGGGCGGGGCAGATTCCCTTGGGCTGACTCACTGTGGCCCAGTGGTGTTCCCTGAGTCATTCCTGGCTGCCTGCTGTCATCTGGGTGATAGGAAACCAGTGGAGGCTTTTCTTCCCAGGACAGTCTGATCAACCCAGGAGTCCCAGCTGCTGTACCTCCAGGACTGTGGCCCCAAGCATGGAGGGAGAGGAAGGTAGAACCCAGTGTGGTCATTCCCCTGCAGGAACAAGGGGCACCTTAGTCAGAGAGAGGAAGCCCTTACCTCTGTCGGTCTGGGCCAAACTGCCAGTACTGGTTCCTGCTCTGGGCCAAGCTCTGTTCAGGACACTAGGGGCACGAATGTGACTGGGACCCAGCGTCCCTGCCTTCAGGTGCTTCTAGCAAGGTGGGGGAGGCTACAGGTCAATAGGATCTGACTTTACAAGGTTAGAGCAGTGCAATGTCCTAGACTAGGGTCAGAAATACTACAGAACAGGGACCAGCAGTTAGCATCATGGCTATGTCACTACACTCCCACATAGTCGACCGCAGTTCAAGTCTCGGACCCAGTGGCTTAAACTCATGCCGGGCATGTATGTGTACGTGCCCAAGATCCCTAGAGGAGAATGGAGGAGAAGGGATTGCGGCAGGGCCATCCTCCTGGGGGGTGATTTCTCACTTTCTGTCTCTGTCTTTCTGGCAAGCGCACGCATCCTACAGCAAAAACCTCTCCAAACAGATCAGGAAACTGGCAGCTATGGTAGAGAGACATAGCAGAGACTTCAAAGCCAGATTGGGCAGCTGGACACCTGCATTTGGAGCCTCATCTATTGTCAGTTGTCTACCAGGCTCAGCGTCCCCATGTGTTCAATCAGAGTAGAGTGGACTACTCCCTAGCACACTTTTTGGTTCCAGCATCCCAAAGGGACAGATGTCTTCCCCTGGCCTGTACAGCTGCCTCCAAAGAAAATCTGTCTTTTGAAGCAGCTGGCAGCTTCAAAAGCTGTTGACATGTGTGTGGGGGAAGAAGGATGGTTGCACAGTGCTGCTCGGGCTTCTCACCAGTACTGAGTTCTCCCAAGCCCAAGAACTGGAAGCTTCCTGCCTCTTCCTTGTGGAGACAAGGCTTCTCTACAGCAGCAGCCTGAGCAGCTAAAGACGTTGTTCTTACTAGTACCTGTCGTAAAGGGACCCACCCTCCTGTCGGAGGCCCTCCTGCCTATAGGCCTGGGTAGATGTGCTGGCTTCATGACAGTGGCCAAGTCCTTTGCTTTCTCTGGCCCAGAAGATCGAACTGGACAATCAGATCTCTTCAGCTACAGCCTGCATCAGATGGCTCTGGATATGAGTTTTGCAAGACTACTTGCTGACAGGACCTGTCGGTCTCCCTGCAGATCTCAGCAGCAGCCTTGGAGCAGAGTGGTTCTGGGGAGGGTCTGGGAGAAAGGAGGGTGCAATCATTGCCCCTCACACAGCTGGAAAGTCTGATTCAGGAGGCTCCAAGCTGCCCTGCAGTCATTGGGCGTGGTGATATTTGGGGACTGCCTGCCAAACTAGCTGTAGTCACACCTGGGAGAAGACAACAGCCGCTGGCTGGCTGACACAGCTGGCCCCATGGCCCTGACGCAGGAGATTTAATGAGAGTACTGCTACCTACTCATCAGGCCAGATGCCATGCCCTGGGGTGGCACCAGCCTGGAAGCAGGAGCTCGCACTAAGAAAGGCTCAGTCAGCTCTAGTGGGCCTTGGGGTGGGAGCTAGTCTGCCTGCAAATCTGGCAGAGCCCTTGGACCAAGGTCTTCTGCCTACTCCCCTTAGCCTGCAGGGGCACTGCTGCTCACTGACAAGGCACAAGTTAGAAATACCACAGGTTGGGCTGCAGCACCTGGCCCTGGCTGGCCGGCCAAGGCATCCCCTGACCCCTGCCTTCCCACTCCCCAGCTACTCCAACTCTGGGCCTCAGTGATTTGCAGGTTGCCCTCACTTGGAAATTGTGAAAGGGAAAGGAATTAAAACACTAGTTTCTATGTTCTGGTCTTTCTGAACCCTGGGACTGTGAGGCTGTAGAAAGATAATAGGCTTTGAGGTCAGCCATGCCTGGGTTTGAAGGCACCTCTGTGTGACCTTGGGGGGTAGTGACTTAGCTCTGATGAGCCTCAGTTTCTCCACCTATAACATGGAGATTGGTAAGATTCTGGTGGGAAGGTCCAATGCCAGGCACTCACTACATGCCTAACCAACTTACTCCTCCCTTCCTCCACCCAGGCCCTCTCCTTCCTGATGACCAGTTGCTTCCCACCCAACCCCCCATCCCCCAACTGCCATGACTGTACATTCCCCTGGTCAAGGTCTGCCTCCCGGAAGCCTTCCTGGAGGGAGTCGCCCGCCTCAGATTGCCACACTGTGGCTTGCCTCCTCAGCACTTAGGTGCATTCTTTGCAGTAATTCCCTGGGAGGCTAGGACAGCCCAGTTGGAGCTGGGTGCTGACTTGGCAGCAAGGTGGGGTTGCAGAATCACTCAG